CGAGCTCATAGGTTCGGTTAGGGTCACTCGGGCTCGATTCTCGATCATTTAAAATTAAAATAAAAGCCGGGTAACATATATATTAATACACACTTTATTTAAAAATAATAATTTTAATAACAAAAATATATTACGCAATTAGACATTTAATTAATCAAATAATAATATTTAGACAATTAGACAATTAATTACAATTTGACAAATAAATCACATTAGACATTTAATAATTTTTTAGCATTCAAAAAATAATAATAACAAATAAAGATAAATAATAATTTATAATAATTAATTCTAAAAAATTCCATAATTAAACGGAGAATTACAATCTATCCTCTGTAAAATATTTCCGTCCTCGGAAATGCGAAAGAACACACATCAAAAAGGAAACGATAGACTCGCACAGGAATTCCCAATCACGAGGTCCGACATCATTCTCCGGAACTCGATTTCGTTCCCATGAGTCCATCGCCTAATACTCGAAAGGCATGTACTCACATACAGGAACCAATCCGACTCGCCCTATGCTCATATGTTTACCTTCTTGCTTGGGAGGGTGATCAGTCCTGCCCGAGCTCAGGCGTACATCCTCTTGCAAGGGACCCAGTTTGGTTTAGCCTATACTCATGAGTATCAACGACTTGCTTCGTACTTAACAACACACAAGACCTCAACAGGTTGTTCGGTGTATTGTCAGCGTACTCCGACTACCTCACTATCAAGGTGGACACGTGACGCCAAGTTTCAGTCTCGTATCCGAGTCACACTGATAACTTGCTCACGATTTCATCACAGACCGTGCGTCTCCATCTGAGACCACAACATGGTACCACTAAATACAACACGACACCATCATGCTCATACTCTCATGATGTCGACTCCACGAGTCGAACGTTACCCTTATGCACAAACATAAGGCTTGACCTAAAGCAACACGACATTCCCAATTTGCCGACTCGAGAAACTCTCAAGTAAATCATAGGGGCTCATCGACTACACTTCTTAATAAAAAATCACCGATTAAGGATGTATACACATTTTAGTGGAACTTGGAGCTCTCGGTTCAAGGTTCGAACGAAAGGGTATCAAAAAGGATAATCAAGTATTCCAGCATGAAACGGTTTCAACAGTTCAGTAAAAACATCGATGGTTGGCCGTATACGCTGGCCTGGGGAGTTCGTGCATACGGTGATGGCAGCTGCAGTTCACATGCGAGTCAACGGTCGGCCGTGCGCAAGCCTCCCGTCTCTCAGCATAGTCATGCGTGCTCGGCCACCACTTCACGTGGCTACACCCAGCCAGGGTCAGGGTTTGGTCCAGGTTTTTACAAGAAATTACAATTCAAGGCTACCAAAAAGGAATGGTCTTACCAAATTTTAAAATTTTTGGGGTCGACAAAATAATATATATTTCAGGCGTTTCGCAATTTCAAAAGTTTCAAAAAGTCTAAAAAATAGTAAGGTGCAAGTTCGAGTTCCAAGTCCACCAACTTTCTAAAACAACAAAACGCAATACGCCACAGATCTAACGATATGCGAAATCTCAAAAGAACTCTCATGACGATTCTCCCTAAGTCAGCGGCTTCTGCCGAGACATTAAATAGATAGCTCGCCTCAGCTCTTCCGACTAACAGCGTCGGCCGACACGTCAGCTCTTCCTCGGGTAGCTAATCGTGTCAGCAGTCATAAACGAGCGCAACTCATCTTTCACTTCCCAATCTTCACACTTCGAAATTTGAACGCGAAGCTCCTCCTTAAAATACGAAAAATGGGATAACAAAAAGAAGCCTCTAGCACACTTCAAAATTGGTTGCCATGCGAATGGGAAAAAGGTTTGTAACACTATACAAGAAGACAACAATGTAAGAAAGGAAACACGACTGCTTCGCCTTCACGAGTCCACGATTTACTATTTTCATCCTCGGTTCAAGCTGTTCCCGGTAAGTCCCGCTGTCACTAAAAAATTGCTCACGGTGCAAAATACGGAAAAGAAATCTTGACGTCTCCCTCAAGATAGAAATGTCACTTGAGGTTGCGGCATAAAATATGCACGCGGTGCCAGATAGGTCTATCCGCCTTAGGAACAAGGTCGGATTCCTTCGTTTAAGCCTTCTCTTTTCGAGATGGCTCGCGAATGGTCCTTATCCGAAGACACCAAAAGTACATCGAGAGGACTGTTATACACATAACTCAGCTCGATAACATTATATCGATTTCTAAACGAACAAAACCTCAAGTTAGAACTTAACTCTATATCGCTAGAGTTCAAGTTCATATAGCTAAAGTTCGCCACTCATCTAGAGTTCCAGAACGTTTAAAAGTAGGAGGATAAATTCCTAAGCCCCGGTTTACATCTCATCATATTATCTCATAAATCAGGTAACTCATAATCAATTCAAAATTCTTATGAAACTCATACCTGAGTTGGCGAGGCACAACGGAAGCGAGTAGTCATATACTATATCATAGTATGCCAGTATTTCATAGAGTTCACATAATTCACACATACCAGTCTACAGAAATGCAGACTGAATCTGATTCCAAACTGTAACGCCCCACTTTTATTTGCCGAAAATCAGAATAACTTTTTCAGATTTATTTTGAAACACCTGAGGCGCTACCCCTTTTTAAATCGAACTTCAATACTTAACCAGTTTTTCAATGCTCAATCATTCATCAAACTCAATCATCAATCATCAACAATAATACTATCTCCCAAAACGAGTTTTCCAAAATTTCATAAATCATCACCCAAACTGGGTTCCAACAATATTCATAAATTCTAATGAGCATCTCCTTAACATTATTCAGTCATAAAATCCGAAATTCATAAAAGCAATAATATCCCAAGTTCATAACCATAAAACCAGTTCATAAATGCGGAAGCATAACAAATAATAAAGCCAGTCTTATAGACCGACCACCACTCGCTCTACTCCGCCGTCGTACCTGCCTCGCTTGACCTGAAACGTGAATTTCAGGTGGGGATGAGCACAGTTGGAAAAAGTAGTGCTCACCACTATGCAGTAAACATTATTCACAATAATGAAACAGTAATTAATAATCAATTTAAAAAGCAGTAATCATAAATAAGTCAGGTATGGTCGCAGCATGTATACAAATCAATTTATTATCCCATCTCCTATCCGAGAGTCAACTCTCATGTGCACACCTACGCATAGACTACTGCTGATACTCGATTCGAATGCCAAAACCTACGCCTTGGTCTTACAATGATGCCCAGCCAGTAGGAGTAATCCACCCCGCCGGCCAAGACCTACGAATTGGTCTTACAAACGGGGATCACCAGCTGAGGGCCCATGCCCTGGTCTTACGGCCATACATAAATAAAGGAGACTACCATCGAGTATGTTCTAGAGCTACGGGGATAACCGTTCGACGGCCGGTACAGCTCCCATCGAAGGCTACATGGTCCACATGCATACATTGATCATACCACAAATTATACATTAATAACATTTATAGCATAGCAAATTTTAGAATAACAACCACCTGGTAATTTGGTAGAGAAGTCACACAAACAGGTCGGTAGGTCGAAGGCTCGAATCCTCAAGCACCTACATTAAGTCCAGATGCTATAATCAACATCTATTCTGAGTTAAACAGAAATCACAATTATTCTTAGCCGAACTTGATTCGACTATGTTGTTCGTGAAGTCCTGTGGACGTTGGAACACTTAGACTCGACACTAAGACTCAACCAAATACTACATGGGAGTTCACATAATCCAACAAAAACATTGACCAAGTCAAACACTTAAAGAAACAGAAAACGAGTCAATTCACAGTTTTTATTACAAAAGCCGTATATTTAAAATACTAGATTTTAAATCACTAATATTAGGTGGGTCAGGTTATCATACAAATTTAACTATGAAATTTTAACCAAAATTTCACCTAAGCAAAACCACCACTTTTCATCCCCAAATTCAAAGTGTGCCATTTTATAAAACTCGAGCAAGTCTATGGCAGAAACGAGCATATAATTAGCAACCAGATCAAATGAATGAATTAACCTATGAAATTTTTATACCACAGACTACAGCATGAGAGTGGCAACATATCAAAATTTCAGCCCTGAACATTAACTGTACGAATTTTAAAAATTCCTACAAGTTTCAGCAGTTTATTGAATTTCAATTAAAATCAAACCAAATTGAACTCTAACAGCATGAAAACACACATAAAGCAAGTACTCCAGCCAAGTTTTAGAATCTTTCAACAACTAACCAATTTATGATAAATAAAACAACTTTATGTAGAATCAGAAAATAAATTATTTACCCTATCAAACTTAGTCCAAAAATTTTAAAAATTTTACACAACATAAGATCATAATAAAGGCACAACATAGTAAAATTTCATCCAATTTTGATCACTACACAATTTATTATGCAATGAACATGTAACTGACCAGAAATAACTTTAATTTATTAAAATAGCTACAAGCCATGAATAATTATGAAATTTTTACACGAGCTGCACATTCATCAGAGGGTTTTACTCAAAACATTTCACTTCAATCCGACCAGTACACAATTTATAATGAATTTAACATCAAAACAGCAATTATACGAATTCATAAATTCACATACGACTCGATAAGACTCGAAATTGTCTGAAGCCTTCACCATAAGGCCAAGGACACGATATGTTCCAATTTCCACAACAACTTAACACGATTAGAGTGAGGTCTCATTCGATTTCACCGAATCGAAGAGATCAATTCACAAGGCAATTAAAGAAAATCATGAGGCTATTCATATATCGTAAAATCACATATACACATATAATCGACACATATCATCAAAAAGACAAGAGATAGCCACCAATACCGTTCACCATACGAGAGACAAGGAACAAAGGTGAAGGGCTCGGTTCTACGGGGTTGCCATTGGGGTGCTCGGCATTCTCGGTTCGAATAAACGGGATGAAGGAAACTAATGGGTGCAACCGCACGGGTACTCGGGCTCGACAGCGGACTCACGTGAACAGAGGCTGGTGGTGGACGGCAATAAGGCTTCGTCGAACGGGCTGAGCGGGGCTTCCGACGACGAACGAGTTGCTGCTCGACGAACGAATTCTCGGTACCGGCAACTTGCAGCCGTTCATGGAGACGGCTCGGTTGAACGGACAACGATGTAATGGGTTGCTGCGATGATCGGACAGAAGCCGACGGGCTGTGCTGCTACTGTTCGGGCCTGAACGAAGGCCGGCGGTGTGCCGCTGAACTTGTTCGCACCGCTGCTACTCCTCTGATCGGCAGTGAATCCCGGCTCCTAACGCAAGACTCGATTTGCTGCTGCTCGATTTAACCGGCGAAGGGTTTCTCTCGAACGGGGCTGTTTGACGATGGAAACTCACGGCTGAGATGAATCGCCGGTGACTGTCGTTGATGGCTGGAGAACATCGGCGAAGAGCTCGGCGGCCGAGAGAGAATGAGAGGGCTCGGTTGCTGGGGTCTCATCGGGGAGATCTGAACGCTGACGGAAGAGGGATCGCGGCGCTGCTGTTCACGCCGCGGCGGAGCAGGGCTTCGCGGCGCGGAGAGAAAATCAGGTTTAGGTCGCAGCGCGGCGGGGACCCTGTTCGCGGCGTGGCGGAGGACGGTAAGTGGTGATGGGGTCAGATTTGCAGAGAAGAAGGTGGAGATGATGGCGCGATGATGAAGACGATGATTCTCTTCTGGTCCCGCGCGCAGATGATAAAAAGCGAGATTTTGACGAGAGTAAAACGAGGATCGATCAGATTTATAAAAGCTGCGGGGTTCTCTTTTGATGAGCGGAATAGAGACACAACATATATATATATGTATATATATATATATATACATACATGTATATATATATGGGGTTAGGATCATATGAGAATGATAGATAGTGAAAGAAATGAGAATGATGGTGGACCATTGAATCCAACATATCAATGGTTATGATCTAGTCAAATATTAAATAGGGCAGTCAAACATGTTGTGGCAGTGTTGTAAATATATGTACAATTCATGGTCAAATATTAACATTTGACCATAAATTAGGGATAAATTGGACATTTGTTATCAAGCCATTAGAATGTGGGTCCCACCACCACCCAACATTAACCCTAACACCTACCTACACTCGTGTCACCTACACCATCCATCACTTTCACCTACACACACAAACACACACTGCACACACCCTTCACGTTCACGGCCAGGCACACGGCAGGACCACCAGATCAGCCGCCCGGGGCCGACTGACGTCCTGCGACAATGCCACCCCATTCTCCCCCTCTCCCCAGAAATCCAGCTGTCACGGACTCACGGCTACGCATCCCTGCCGCCCACCTCCCCAGCCCGGCCGACGGGCATCTTCAGCCCGTATGACGCGCCTCCAGCCCGGTCGCCGCGTCTCCACAGTCCCGCTCCCATGTCGACGGCGATTAGTAGGTCATGAAGCTCCTCTGACGGCGATTAAGAAAACCGGATCCATGACGGGAGGAAGCCAGCCACGACAGTTTCGAAGATGCCGCCGATTCTAAATCCTACCATAGATCTTCTTCCTGTCCACCAGTTGTGCGAAAATGGCTTGACAAAATCGGAGAATTAAGATTCAGTCGAAAGACGATAGATAGAGTCTCGATTTTGGAATTTTGGACTTCTGTAAATTGGGGGGTTTGATTTTTTGTGAATTAGATAAGTCCCAGGGACTTGTTAGCAAATTAAAAGAACTAAATATAATATACATATTGACCACAAGCTTTACCGTTAATGTGACTTGCCCTCCCGCAGCCTCACACTAATTATCAACTTGTTTTGCTTCTTTTTTCCTAATTTTCGAAATGGCAAGGATTATTGAATTGGAAAGTCCACATCTACAATCTATTGTGTTCCCATTATTTTAACATAAATTTGGTCAAACAAGGTCAAAGCCAATAGCCATTTTTCAGCCTCTAAGATAATTTTCGAGAATGGAAAATTGGAAATAGACAATTTAATGGGTACAAATTATAATTTATTGCTATTTAAAAATTAAACAACATTAATAAATAATTGCACATTATTATGTGTATATGTGCACATTAAAAATTACTGTCATATATATACAAACTTATTAAAAAAAAGTAATAAAATACGCAATTTCAATAAGTGAATTGCACAATATAGCGTATAAATATGCACTTTAAAAGTTAAAAACATATGGTCAATACGAGATATAAAATTTAAACCAAAAATTTTGGTTTGATCAATTTCAGATGTTATTGTGCAATGTGTTAGTAATTAATGTGCAATCTAGTAGTCATTAATGTGCAATCAGCCTAACACTATTGTGCACTTGCGGTGTATTAACTGTGCCTAAACCAAACTAAAATCGAACGAACTGTTTGATTTATTTGATCGGTTAACCGAATTAACATAATTAATTGAAAGAAATTGAAATCTATATTATAAAAATATATTTGGTATTTTAATATTTTGTTTATTATTTTTATATAATTTTTTTTGTTGTAAGACCTAAAATATAAAAGATAAAAATATTATTTTTTGTTTTATTGTTTGATCGGTCGTTTGTTTTAAAAAGTAGATAAGATTAACGTCAACCCGAACTAACCAAAAAATAATTAAAAGTATAAACAAATAAGCGAACCAAAATATAAGATACGGATCCAATAAACATAGTCGGTCGGATTTGGTCGCTATAGTGCAACTTGATATTCACCAATGTGCAATCCATCTAACACGAATGTGCACTCGAAGTGCAGTTATTTTTTTATTGATTTGTCTCAACCCAAAGCATAACCGAAATAATCAATTTATTCGTTTGGTTAACCTAACCAACATAAATAATCAAAATAATTTAAAAATTATATTATAAAAATACAATTAATAGGTTAACATTTTATTAAATATTTTATATTGCTTTTCATTGTAAAGATCTAAAACAAATTAATATTTTTTTATAATGTTCGACCGGTTCGGTTATTTTGAAAAATAAAGCTTACATCAAATCGAAATAACTAAAAATTTAAAAGTAAAAACAGATAATGAAACCAAAGTATAGAATTTGGACCAACCACATAGTTTGTTTGGGTTTGTCCAATATAGTGCAATTTGGCAGTCATTAATGTGCAAATCGTCTAATACAATTGTGCAATCTTATTATATGCATTTTTTTGTATGAATTTTCCCAACCCAAAACTAAAGCCGAACAAAAAATAAAAACAATATTTATTATATAGTCCAGTTGGTTCTCTTATATAAGTTATTTAAGAAAATAATCTGACATCATACTGAAATAATCGATTATATGAAATAAAAAAAAAAAACAAAGAAGAAAAGATGATCATAAAATTGGGAAAAAAAAAATAGTTTGGTTGGTTTTGTTCGATTTTGTGCAATCTAATAGTCGTCAATGTGCAATTCACCTAACACTATTGCGCACTCATAGCGCAATCTAGTTTATTTTTTTTATTTAAATAGCTGACGTTTTAAAAATAATAAAAACAAATAATCAAATTGAAATATAAATATTTGAACTATATATTATTTATAGGTTAGATGTTGTTGTGCAGTCTAACAGTCATTAATGTGCAATCCGTCTAACTATATTGTGCACTTATTCGGTGCTATTGTGCAGTATGAATCGGTCGAACTTTTGTCTCAAATCAAATTCAAATTGAACCGAAATAAACAAAATTTCTGAAATAAAATATTATTTATATTATAAAAATATATTTAGTATTTTTAATATGTTTATTTTATTTTATCATCAATATTGTGGACTTATTATTATTATTATTTTTTGTTTGATAAATTATAAAAATAACTGATTATTTACCAAACAAAAACAATTTGCATAACCGAACAATTCTATAAAATTTCTAAACCAACAACCCAACTATCACTTATTGTAGCAAATACAAAAGCACACTAAATATGCCCCACCCCGTGAATTTAATTCATAATATGGCACAATTAGCATAGTACCAAATTATTGGCTAATTAGGAATATTATGGACGGGAACGTCGGGAAGATACGGGGAATTTTTCTCCCAGATTTTACTATTAATTAAATAACAGTATATTCATATTTTTTTAAATTGCAAATAAGTCCCTACAATGTATCTAATTCTCACTAAAAAAACCTTAGCCCCAAATTAATATTTCTATCACTTTCCACCAACACACACTTGCCATCCCTCCACCCACCACACCACCATGAGCAGCCGTATCGGAGCAAATCAACTACTGGACTGCCTCCGCCTCCGCCTTCACGTCCGGCAAGGCCTCCACTGCCTCCCTTAGGGCTGGTGGCGTCCTGTACCTGTTTGGGCCATTCTCCGACAGGTGTGTCGCCGAATGGAAGGTCGCTGAAATGAATCCATACGGCTTATGAAAGCATTGCCCTCTCTAATAAGGTTTGAAATCAAAACGAAATGCGTCGACGGAGGAAAGACGGAATTTGGAGAGGAGTTCGGCGGCGGAGGCGTGACGGAGGCGGCGGAGGGCTGTCAGTCGTGTCGCCGACTGGAAGGTCGCTGTAATGAATCCATACGGCTGACGAACTGCGTCAACGGAGGAAAGACGGGAATTTGCAGAGGAGTTCGGCGGCCACGGTGGCGCGGCGGCGGCGGAGGTGGAGGTGTGACGGAGGCTGAGCCAGGAATCACCGGCGACAATGGATGGCCGAAGGTTCCGCCGGTGAGTGTGCGTGTTCCGCTGGTGATCGTGCGTTGTGTGTGTGCGACTTCTGTACTGTGTGTAATGTGTGTGTATATGAGAGAGAGAGAAGATGAGGTGGTGCTTTTTTAGGTGGTTACGGGAATGTCAAAATTTTAATTGTGGTGGGGCCCATCAATTTGGTGGATAGTGGATGTGTGAATAAATGTCTATAATAGCCTTAATGATGATATAATTTTGACTTTTTTCTAGTCATCAGATCATTAGATCTAATGGCTACGATGTATTCTTATTTCTTTCACTGAGCACCATTCTCATGTGAGCGCGACCCTATATATATGTATATATATACATATATGTCTAGGTTTTTTTTTTTTATTTTTTGATCCACAAGAATAGAACACACACGCACACACTTCTCGGTTTTAAGGGGAATAACCGGGTCTGGGCGGTTCACATGGGCCGGGCTCACGGGTTCGGTTAGGGTCACTCGGGCTCGATTCTCGATCGTTTAAAATTAAAATAAAAGCCGGGTAACATATATATTAATACACAGTTTATTTAAAAATAATAATTTAATAACAAAAATATATTACGCAATTAGATAATTAATTAATTAAATAATAATATTTAGACAATTAGACAATTAATTTCAATTTGACAAATAAATCACATTAAACATTTAATATTTTTTTTGCATTCAACAAATAATAATAACAAATAAAGATAAATTATAATAATAATAATAATAATAATAATAATAATAATAATAATTAATTCTCAAAAATTCTATAATTAAACGGGGCATTACAGATACATAACCATTTAAAAAATAATAATAATATTTTACATATTGTTCGGTCAGTTCAGTTATTTATGCTTTTTTTAAGTGAAGCCGATATCGAACTCGAAATAATCGTGATTTGAAAGTATAAACAAACAACCGAACCAAAATGTGCAATCCGATAGTCGTTCAAGTGCAATTCGTATAACAATAATGTGCATCTGATTGCAGTAATAGTATGATCCACAACAAATTAAATTCGATTTAATTGGTCTATTTACTCGATCTATTAACCGAATTAATCTAATAATATATATGATTTATTATTTATGTTATAAATTATATTTATTTTTCAACGTTTATATTTAATATTTTTTCAGTATTGACATTAATATCATCTCTATCGTTCTGGCCAAAAAAAAAAAAGTATTGACATTAAATGTGAAGTGTGGTGATAAAATGCAACGGGTTGTTTATAAGGTGCAACATATTGTTTTACAAAGTGCATCGTACTGATATGTAAAATGCAACTACTTTATATGATAATATATAAATTATGAGTTTTTAAAAACTAGATTCAGTAGATATAATTGTACATCGAATTAACCTAAATAATTGAAATAATTTACAATTTATTATGATAAAAATATATCTATTATATTAATTATTTTTATATTATTAAAAATTATTGTTACTTATTATTATAAAAAGTATAATTTATAATTGATTATTATAATTTTTTTATAAAACAATAATTTATTATTTATTATTGCAAACGTATAATATATTATTTATTATTATAATTTTTTATTATATAATATTAAAAATATATAAAAATAATATCTCACTTAATATTTTTATTTAATATTTTTGATAATTTTATAATATATTAAAAAACTCATTGCCGGATATACTGTTTTAGGAGACAATAATTGTTCTAATCAACGTGTAGTTTGAACTTATGATGCCCTCGTCTTTTTGTCTTTTCGAGTTCATTGAGAATTTCAAATATACCTTTCATGTTTATTTTATTGAGAGATGCCCTCGCCTTTTTGGTTTGGTTTGGTTAATTTTGAAAAAAGTGGTATGGTTAGTTGTTAGTGAGTATATTAAAATAATATTTAAAATAAAATAATTAAAATTGATTTGATGTAAAAATAGGAGAGAGATGATTGAAGTGATAGTTAGTTAAAATAATGTTAATTGATGAATAGTGAATTAAGGTTGATGTGGTGTGTATGAATGATTTATTGATATTATTTAATTATATTAATAATATTGATGATAGTGGAGTTGAGTTAAAGTTGAGTTAAAAAAAGTGGTTGAGTTAAAATGTTGAAAGTTTTTAAAAATTTTCCATAAACAAACATGCTCTTAGAATTAGTAGTTAATTTGATGTTGACAGTTCCAAGAATTAGTATGGTGCCTCATCAAATATTTTTATCAAATATTAAAATATATTAAAGATAATATTTTTATCAAATATTTTATATTATTCTTTATTGCAAATACATAATGTACTAGATAGATGTTATAAAAAAATATAGATTATATACAGTTTTCACAAATTACATATTTGGCCCCATATACTAAATTGAAATAAAATAGGGCATTACTATTTACCGCCCCTATTACTAGTCAACGCCCCCCTCCCATTTCATTTTTTCCAAACATCTCAGAGCAAAGTATACGGCGAAATGTCTTCAAATTCCGAGGTACGATTTTTCACCGTCTGGACGGCGATCGCGTACGGCTTTTAGACCGTCCGACCGCCGAAACCGGACGATTCAAAAGGCTTCCGGCCGGCCGGTTCTGACGGCATAAAGGCAGTTCGCAATCTCCGTCCGGTCGGACGGGCTTTGTCCGAACCGACCAGCCGGTCGTGACCGGTCCGTCCGGTTCGACCGGCTGGACGAATTTATTTTCTTAAATATTATTATAAATTATTATGTTACATATTCGAAATAATTATGTTATAAATTAGACGTTATATATTATCGTGTTAAGAGTTAGAAATTATTATGTTACGTGTTAGACTTGATTATGCTATAAATTGGACGTTAGATATTATCGTGTTAGGAGTTACAAATTATTATATTATGTTAGACTTGATTATGTTATAAATTGGACATTAGATATTATCATGTTAGGAGTTACAAATTATTGTGTTACATGTCAGACTTGGTTATGTTATAAATTGAACGTTAGATACTATTGTGTTAGGAGTTGCAAATTATTATATTGTACATGTTAGACTTGATTATGTTATAAATTGAACGTAAGATATTATCATGTTAGGAGTTACAAATTATTATATTGTACATTAGACTTGATAATGTTATAAATTGGACGTTAGATATTATCGTGTTAGGAGTTACAAATTATTATGTTACATGTTAGACTTGATTATGCTATAAATTGGACGTTAGATACTATCATGTTAGGAGTTACAAATTATTATGTTACATGTTAGACTTGATTGTGCTATAAATTGGACGTTAGAAATTATCGTGTTATGAGTTACAGATTATTATGTTACATGTTATAATTAGTTATCTTATACATCAGAATGAAGATGTTATAATGTTAGAACTCAGAAATTATTATGTTATACATAATTTAACATGTTTTAAAAATATAAATATTGTACTATATTGCAGGAGTCATGGGAAGATTTTGGAGGAGATGGTATTGATTACAGTCTTGGTTTCAATACCCATTCATTATTTATTAGTGATGAGGAGGCTATTAATTCTGCAAAACACCAGGCAATTCTGAATGGTTTCCAATTAGTAATTTCGAAACACACAAAGAAAGGGAGGGTGAAGGTTTTGAAGTGCAATAGAGGCGAACGCTACTGAGGCAAAGGCGGAAATTCCAGAAAGGCAAAAATGAATAAATACAATTGCCCTTTTGAGATAAAAGTAAAAAAAAAGTACTAGATTTGCCATACTGGATGATCTGTAGATGTAGCAAGAATGAGAAGGGTTACCATAACCATTCATTTGTTGTGTATCCTGAGGGTCATCGACAGTTGAGCGGCTTCAGCGCTTCATCTAAGAATATTATTCGTGAATGACTGACGCTCAGGTGGCCCCGAAAAAAATTTTGGCCACGCTGCAGGAAAAAAATCCGGGAGACAACCTTAATCGGCGACAGCTATAATAAATATATGTGTATCTTTTAATAAATATATATATTTATATTTTGTAATATATGTTTTAATTAACTTTTTGAATTCAAATTTTAAATTAATGCTAAGAATTAATTAAATTAATTATAATAGTTAGTAATTTTTTTTATATCTAAAAGTTATTGTAATAATTAATAAATTTAATTATATTTAGTAATGTATTATTATTATGATAGTTAATAATTTTTTTATCAAATAAATTAATTAATATACTTTTTTATTAATGAATATAATAATTTTTATGTTTTAAATTATAATAATCATTATAATTAACGCTTATCAGTGACGGGTATATAACTTTAGAGGAAAGCTGCGGAAAGAGAGTTCCGAGGGATGAGACTTTCCTACCCAGCTTATGCATTTGACCATGAGAAGCAAGTATACAGTTTATGCAGAATCCGATCCGAACACGAAAGCGTTGACGCATATATTCATGGCCCATCCTGCATCTGTCAATCTATTCCGGACATATCACTGGTATGTCGGCATAGATTCCACGTACAAAACCAATAGGTATGTTACTTTATAAATACTTTATTAGTATGAATCTTAAATAATATGTTTGATTAAGTTATGTTTTATGTGATTATATTTTTTGTCTGCTTGGTCTTATTTTCACAGGTATAAGATGCCGTTGGTCGAGATGATTGAATGACGTCGTGCAACCAGAACTTCCTAATTGCGTATGCGCTCATCAGGGACGAGAAAGAGGCCAGTTACGACTGGGTTCTACATAAGT